CAGAGTGCTGGGAAAAAACCAACCTGCTGCCAGACTTGTGCAAGATAAGAGCTGATGTCATCTTGGGCAGATGAGAGCTCATTTCATCAAGGTTTAATTCACCCTGCACTATTTATAGATCTAGGCAGGCCCAATTTCCTGCATTAGCTGGGAGAGGGGGAATTTACCCTCAGAGCAGGAGTAAGAAACACCACGTATTCCTAAATCTGTGCTGCATACCTTGCTCATCATGTTGGACACTTCACTGGGTGTGAGAAAGCTGTGGCTTTAACTGCTGCTTGTAACACATGGGCAGGGCAGGAGCTGGAGGAGTACCTCTTACTCCATCTCTGACATGTTGGTGTTGTCATTAATTGCTTGTTGGGCTCAATATTGTGTGATTACCGAAGCTTGTGATTTGGGAGCGCAAACCCAAGCTGTCAGCTGTACTGCTGTTGTAGGTCACTTGACTTGAGTTCAGTTGACTGCAGAGGCAGTATCTGTTCTCTGGCAGAACCTGTGTTTTGACAGTGACTTGCCATTTCTCTCTGGCTGAAACAGGGCTGCAGATACACACCAGGTCTGTCCTTTGGAGGAGGAACACACAAATGGGGATAGCCCTGCAGCACCTGTGTCTTCTGGTGCTTTTGTTGTTTGTGTAGCCAGATTACATACCTCCTTCTTCTGCTGCTCTTGATTCTCACCCAGCATTTCTCTAATTTAAGACTTAATCCCATTACACAAAGTACTAGAAACCATTCCCTGCTTGCATAGATCATATTCTGTTTTCTATTAATAAATTCCTGCTCTGTATGGAAATGAATAATTTAGTTCAAGATGTTGCTTTAAATCTGATTTAGGCTTGCTGCCCACACAGCCGTCTCCTTCAGCTCTACTACATCCAAAATAGTTTCGCACAGAGAGGAGGTGGTAAGCACTTACCTACCAATTGCCTTAAGGTCGGTGGTACTGTCATGGTAAGAGTTACCAGATGATGATGGCTTACGCTCTTACAATGTTTTTCCTTAGCTTATAGGCATCATTTGTGGTGGTGTTTTAGTAATATGTAGAAATTTGAGGGCAAAGAGCAAGACAATGGAATCTACTTTTATCTCTCCATGGTTAACAGCTGTAGTAGGTTGCCCAGGGAGTGTGCTGCTTTCTACCTTTATCAAGACTGGAGAAGATAAAGTAAATAATCTTGTAGGTACACTACCACTGATAAAGAGGAAAACCTGACCTGAGTAGTCTGTGTCTCTTCCATCTCACAGCAAAGCAGCAGACGCAATTTTCTTTGCCTTAAGTGAACCAGGACCTGAGTGTCCTTGAGCTGAAAGGCTTTTGGGGATGTTTCTAGCCCTCTTGCTATTGCAGAGGTTCAACAAGCTTGAGCAGGACACGAGGAACAGGCGCCTTGCTGCTCTGTGTTCTGCCAGATTTGAATATTAAAAAGAATAATTGCAGGGATTTCACAGATATGTTCTTTATTTACAGTCCCCAAATTAAATCAACTCTCAGTTCTTCTCCAGGGAGTTAATCTTGAACGTTGAGCAGCTTCACAGTGGGACTAAAACTGATCTGGTAATGCCAAAAAAGAAGCTTAATAAATTAGTGGTGAAAAGCACTGGTAGTATGAATTCTCATCATTAATCATTCCCACTGTGAAACAAATGGCTTACTACAGACTTTAATAACTTTTAAAACCTAAGCTCTCAATCACACTCTGATGTGGAGCAGAGGGAGCGTGGCTGGAATTTGGACTGCTGTGGTCCAGCACCCAGGTACCTCTGTTTGCTGCCTGGGGGTCTCTGGAGCCTTAGCACCTTTGGATCTGCTCTTGGATGCCTCATTCCTTCACTCAGAACTCTCATTGTCAGTGGCGGCTGTCAGTGGCACTGTCATTGCTTCCAGATGATTCCCCCCTTTGAACCCTTTGCCACCAAGGTGTGCACCCACTTCTTCCCATAATCAGTCCCTCCATATGTTTAGACTGTGGCAGTCATAGCTGGGTGTGTGCTTTCCTCATCAGTTTAAGACTCATTCAAAGATGTTAAGGCTAGGAGACAGGACAGGGGTAGGAAGCTTCAGCTGCCCTTTGTCAGTTGCATAGGGATGTGAGACCAATACTCCATTTTAGCTGCAGATTTCTCTGGAGCAAGATGTTAGGGAGCCCAAAGGAGGAGAAGCCATTGTTGACATGATTCTGACAAGGGCAGAGAAACATGTTCAAAAAGAGCTGCTGTGTGATGGGAACCATAATGTGCTCCTTGGGAAAAGAAAAAACATAGAAAACTTTATTGGTTTTGCACTCAAAGTTCAAAACAAGAACCGCACAGAAATGGAGAAGCTCATTGAAAATAAGCTAAGCAGGGAGGAAATGCCCAGCATCTATCACTGGAGACGTGAGGAATGGTGCAGGGAAGCCAGCAGGACTAAATAGAAGGGCATGGAGGCTATTGAGAACAAAAAAGCGTTTTTCAAAGAGCTGCAGAAAATGGGAAAGGTTATAAAGTCCAGCACATTGAATACATGAACAGAGCAGGCAAAGGGGGGGTTTGAGAGATGATTTGCAAAGGGGAATAGAGAAATAACAGTCATGTTTCAGAGTTATCAGAAATGGAACCATGTGAGGAGCACCTCAGAGATCTATGTTAGGACCTATTCTGCTTAAATCTGCTCTTAAATGATCTGGAATAAGTGATGGAAGGTGCAGTGGCAAATTTTATCTGCCTTTTGGGTAAACATGGAGTATGTTTACCATCCTACAGTGGAATATAAAAGTGCAGGCTCAGGGCTGATGGTAACCCAGAGGCATAAGGCCTTAACATTGTGAGAGATGAGTGAAAAAGTCAGCTTCAGGGCTCATGGCTTTCAACAAAGGAAATCAATTCTTGTTTATCAGGAACAGAGAACAAAGCAACCTCATTGTGCTACTGTGAAAACACACAGTGCACCCGTGTGTGATTGATGTGCCACCAGCCCTTTGTCTGAGAGAGGACAGGGCACGGTGGGGCACTCCTGGAGAACAACAGCATGGTCAGAAAAAATCTGTTGTGCCAGGACAGGCCAGATGGTCCAGAGCACATCTGCCCAAAAAGGGGCATGTGAAGGGGAATTGCAAGACGCTGTTAGGTCATCACAGCTGGAGGGTATGGAAATGGGGTCATTTGTTCTCCATCTTCCAAACCAAGGACTGGGGGATCTGCAAAACCAGCAGACACAAGATGGGAAAAGCAGTGGCTCTTCACCCTGCAGGTTGTTAAGCTTTGGCTTTCCTGGTCACAGGGTGAGGCAGGTGCCAAAGGTGCAGGTAACAGGAGCTGACTGCCTAGTTCTTGGAACAGAAAGTGAAGACCAAACCTCCAGTTCAGGAAGTCTCTTTTGACCTATAGATCATTGGAGGTTGAGAAAATGAAGGTTACAAGATGTGTTTCAGAAAGTATCACTGCATGCTTGCTCTCTTTTATTTTTCCCATGCCTTAAAGTGAGGCTGGCTGGACCATACCAGCTCCGTACCTCCTGATCCTCCTCCATCCCTGCGCTCCTCACCCATGCGCTGAGGGAGCTGCTAGTGTGTGAAGCTGTGCTTCTCAGCTTGACTTGATCGGTAGCTGCTGCCTGCACAGGACTCGTGTCTCTGCTCCATCTCCCCAGCAGCACACTGCTGTTGGCATGTGTGTGTCACAAGCTTTGTGCCTGCGGGCGGCAGAGCAGAGGTTCCCTCCGCTGTTGAGTTCCCATTTACAGCAGATTGTCTGCAGCTGCTGTTTATTTTTTACCTACTGTACAAATAAGGGCAGAAGATAAAATCTCTTCAGAGAAACCTCTGATAAAGTTTCCACTCCCTAGGTTAAAATGAAATTTTACCCAGCTTTTCAAAACAACTGTAGATTACCATCTTCTCGTATTCATCTCCCGTAGTTTGCAGACTACACATTTGTTACGATCTGGCTGTTTCATGGCCGCATCTTTCACACTTGCCTTTTCCTGTCACTGCTCATTATGGACCAGATCAGTGTTCAGGGCACAGCTGGAGTTAGGCAGCTGCAAGGTACCAATCCTTGAATCACCATTTGGGCTACACTGCTGCAGCGTGACAGAGATGGCCTGAACAGAGACCAGAAACAAAGATTGCCAGCATCTGAGCAATAAAGATGACAAGTGTCTGATACTTTCCAACACTACATTTCTGCAGGAGCAGTGGGTAAATGGGTGAGAATACACAGACTTGTGGTAAGGTGACGGCGTGGCACCAGCAGGACATCTCGCTGGGTAGCTGGAGAGGAGGAGTGTCTGCAAGAAGGACATGAATAAAGAATGTTTAGCAAGGGCAGAGGGTGTTCTCTCACTGAGCACTCTGGTACCTGTTGTAAGTGGGTTATTCCACTCCATGTTCAGAGTAGTAAATCACTCATGGTGCAATGAAATAATAACGGGGTTTTGGCCAATTCACGGTAGCAATTTTATCTTCCAAGTGTAGAGACTGTCATTGCCATCCTAAGCATGATATTAAGCTCTATATTAAGCATCTACCTCATGCTGTCCTTTGGCTTTGGTATGTGGGAGAGAGTTGTTTCAGAGAAAAGCAGGTGACAGGGAAGTCATGTGTGCTGTAACTGTGTAGTCTGAAAATGGTTTTGTCCTTTGCAATCATAGGTCAAGATAAAAGCCCTGAAGGTACAGGGCAAAGTTGCAGGGAAAATAAAGTTCGCTAGAAAAATGGGCATAGTATTTATTACCTGTAGGGAAGCTGGGAGTAAAACTCAGTCTTACCATCTCCAGGTAATCTCAAAAAGGAGATCAGCACAATATTGATATCTGCCTAATATCTAGCTAAAAAAGTGGGTGAAGAGAGGGATTTGACAGGGCTGCAGATTGCAAGAGCTTTACTGAGCTACCAGCTATGGGTAGTGGAACAATGTTAGAGTGTGGATGAGACCCTTACTGCTGGCCCTCAGTTAGTGTTCCTTGCAGCACAGGCAGTACACATAACACTGAGACTCCTTCTTCTCTCTCTGCAGGAACATGACATTGAGACAGCTTTTGGAGTGGTCCATGTCACCATGCGGGGCATGCCCAAGGGGAACAGACCTGTCATCCTCACGTACCATGACATTGGCCTCAACCGTAAGCTCTTGCATTCCCAGGACCCTGAAAAAGCGGTTGTGGTATTTGCTTTTGAGTGTGGTGATCAGCAGGCCTAGAGTTGAGATGAGACAGGTCATTCCAGGGTAAAAAGATAAAGGTCCTCAGGAGAGAGAACATGTGGCACACGCCTGTCCTTTCCAATGGCCCTTCAAAGGCAGGGCCAAGGTGGAAATAGATCTACCCTCCACACTATAGTGCTCTAGCTGACTTGTTGCACTGTGTGACACAAGGCATCTATTCCCTGGATGCTGGGCAAATGAGCAAGTTCCTTCTACAAGGCTGCAGAAGTAGTGTAATGCTTCTGGTGCACTCAGTTGCTCTTTCCATGTGTCTTCCCAGAGTGTACTGTTATGTTCACCCAGGTGCTCCTCAGTATGTACTGTGAGTACCCAAGTGCTGCAAGGCCCTGTTTTCCAGGGCATGCACACTGGGGTGTAATTTGTCTGCCTGCTCTTCAGTGGTGGTATTACTTTGTTCAGACTGGGTGCTGGGTTGCAGTCAGGGGCTCAGCAGTGTGTGTCACCTAGCACCTATTGCCCCACAGACTCGGCAGCAGGGTTGGGCTCATGCAGGTGTGTGGTGCTGGGGTGTTTGGAGGGATTGCAATAAAAGTTCAGGAAATGTCTCCTTTCTTGTTGTTGTAGACAAATCCTGTTTTAATGCATTCTTTAACTTCGAAGACATGCAAGAGATCACTCAGCATTTTGCTGTGTGCCATGTGGATGCACCAGGCCAGCAGGAAGGAGCCCCACCATTCCCATCTGGGTAAGAGCTCTGCAGGGATTCTTCTTTTTCCAAACATGGTCTGGATTGCAGTCTGGGCTAAAGTAGCACCCCGTTTAAGCCAAGTGGACTGCCAGGCTGAGTGTAGTGGGAGGCAAGTTCCAGGAGCAGAGGAAATGGGAAGATGATGAGGAGGCTTCCTAAGGAACATTCAGGGAACTTTGCTAACACTGATGCATGGTTAAAGCCCTCACTAGTGGTGAGTGCTGGTACCAGCTTTTTGACTTGAGCACCAGCCCAGTACAGTGCAGTCTGGCTGCCATTCCATGCTCCATCAGTCCATCCTCCCACAGAAGTCAGACTGGCCAAAAACCCACAGCTCTGTGTTGGCCTTGCTCTGAGGGATGGGATCCATGCAGTTGGCTGGAATATACAGTGTCATAGCAAAATAATCACTTATGCCTGTCAGATGTTACTTGTCTTTTCTACCTTGGATAGAACTGGAAGGTGACCTCTTTGACTTCAGTCTCTCTTGGTTTTCAGGTACCAGTATCCCAGCATGGATGAGCTGGCTGAAATGCTGCCCGCTGTTCTGACACACCTGAAGTAAGTCTCTGAAGGGAAACAGGGTGAGCCAGCTGTGTGCAGCCATTCCAGCACCTACCTCTGTCCCTGCTTGCAACTTCTGATACGCTCACTGAGTTGTCCCAAGAGGTCTGAGCACCTCCTAACCTGTGTAACCCTGTCTGGTTCTTATGCTGGGAACACTGTCTGCCACATGACACAGTTTATGGCTGCTGCATCATTGCTGGATTGTTTTGAAAATGAACCATAAGTGAACAGTTGGATGCAGAGAGGGGAGAGGCTTTGCCTCTAGGGATGCTTTGCTGTGAGCTTGTTAGCCCTGCTGACTTGGGAATGCCTGTATTTCAGCCTGAAAAGCTTCATTGGGATTGGACTGGGAGCTGGTGCTTACGTCCTCAGCAGGTGTGCAGTAAGTATCTCTTCATTTCCTTGTGATTTCTATGAGCTGTGGTCTTCTGCTCAAACAGACCATTTGTGGGGGCAGGGGCAAGGTAGCAGCAGTAATTACAGTAGGCCTTCAGGAGCCATGTGAGAGCTGCTTTGCATCCAGATGGTTAAATTGGAGCAGCCAAGATTACTCTGAACCTATGCCAGACATGGGGAGATTGTAATGTGATGTCTTTAAGTCAGCAGAGCCCGTCCTAGCTGCTAGGAATATCCAGCCCCATGTCTTCACAAAGATAGGCTGCATTGCTGTCTGCTGTCTCCAGTGCTTGTGACACCAAACAATTGATTTGGTGATGTGCTGTAAGCACTGAGGAGGAATGTGCTTTTTCACTGTAAGTAGATTTTGCACTCCACCTTTGACAAGAGAGTGCTAGCTTTATCTGGGTACTTACTTGTACATTCCTCTCTAGTGGAGTGTTTATAAGTACATGAAGTCATTGGAGGTAGTTCAGCAGCCCAGGAATTTGCCTGAGTCTTTCAGAGATGGTGATAAAAAAACCCAAATATGGAAATCTGATGTTCTTAGTGAACTTGGCTTCAAGTTACTGAGTGCAGAGTTGCCCATGATTTAGGCCATTATTGCTTCTTAAAGCCACTTCACCATGCAGTTGCCCCTCTTACCAAATGTTCTCTGCTTCTCATTTCCTCCAGTCAGGGTTGAGCCTGAGGCAGTGTGAGGCACTGGTGTTTGCTGTTATTTGCCTTTGGTATCTTGTATGGTTTCCAGTCTTGCTAAAGAGAAGATCACACAGATAAGCCTTTGTCCTCAGCTCAGTTAAGTGCCAGAAAGTCCTTGCCATGCAACCTGGATTGCAGACCATTTCCTGCAAGGACAGAGTTATTTCCTTCTGCTTAACCTGAGCTAATCTGTACAATGGAGCAGAAGAGCTGGTGCAAGATTTCAGCCTTGGAGTGAGCCTAGAGCTGAAAGTTCCCTGTCTGGGTTAGATTGCTGGGTTTGTGTTTGCAGATCTCAAACTATTTTGTACCTGTGCTCCCCGCACACCGCCAGGGTAAGCTGCAGGGTGCTGGGGTTGCCAGACTGGAGCAGGGAAACAGCTCTGAGAGCTGAGGGAGCAGTGGGGGTGTCCTCTTGAGCTTCCCAGGCCTCTGCTCAGGCTGCAGGTGCTTGCAGGGCCTCAGCACCAACTCCTGTGCCATTTACCAAACCTTCCTGTTTTGCCACATCTCCACTAGGAGACTGCCTCTTCTTGAGCAGAAGGAGGTACTCTTCAGGCACAGGAGTTTGTCCAGGTCCTTCCCAGAGGTGCCAGATTGGAGCAGAGTCACTGCTGACAGCCCTGTAATGCACAGGAGCCTGAGCAGGACCTGCAGCTGCACCAGATGCATGGGTCTCCAGATGACTCAAGCTGCAGGTCAGGTGCTATGTGAGCAGTCAGCCCCTCAGTGCCAACAACTGAATGAGTAAGGTCTAACTGGGAGCCAGCTTTTGGCCAGGCTCTGAAAAGCCCACTGGGCTGCCTGGCACAGGAGGAACTCCCCATTTAGCCTTCATTTAACTCTGTTTTCCTTTTGCAAGAAGCTTTCCAGCTGCTGTGCCTGCTGTTGACCCACGTGTGAGCTGAATGACCTTCTGAGTGTGCCTGTGCTCTCTCCCCGCAGCTCAGCCACCCCGACCTGGTGGAGGGACTCATTCTTATAAACGTTGATCCGTGTGCAAAGGGCTGGATTGACTGGGCAGCATCCAAGGTGAGATTCTCCTTCCCCTGCATGTATCCCCTGCACAGTGCTTAGTGAACAGTGCGTAGAGTAAGCAGGAAAAGGACAGAGTACAGGAATGTGTTGGCTTCTGGCAAAAACTGTACCATCTCATTTCTGTCCCTGCTGCATTCCCAGTCTGGGTGTAGTATGGCCTCCCCTGTAGGAGCAAGGGTGGGTGTGAATGAGAAATCCTGGTAAACTACTTGGAGAGGAGTGGCTGTTGGGCACTTGGCTCTCCTCTGATTTAGTACTCATGCTTGCAGGCTTTGTTTGGCTGAGGTTGAACGGATCTCTTAATTATTCTGTTATTCTGGCCACTTGCAGTTATTCAGGGTTCCAAGTTTCTGTAGAGCTGTGTTTTGTGTGGGCACAGGCTCCTTTGGAGCCTTGCACACCCATCCCAAGCTTGAGGCATTTGCTTCTTACATGGCTTGAATTATTTCTTTGTCATTTTCCTTCCTCTGTGGAACTGCTTTGAAATTTGTAGTGAAACTGCAGTTTCCAGTTGCTGTCCCTCCTTCTCATTCATGGTCACTTTTCAGTTTTCAGGCTGGACAACCAACATAGTGGATATCGTCTTGGCGCATCATTTTGGCCATGTAAGTACCCAGCAGGTGTTAATATTGCCTGTGCAACTGTACATGGAACTATAAATTCCCTATGTACCTGCTCTGAAATAGCTCCAGTCCATCAAATAAGGGTTGCCACAGATAGTGCTGTCTCCTCTGTGTGTCAAGCTTGCATCAGGGCTTTGCACACTATAAGTGGATCCACATTCCCACGCTTGCCCTGTCTCCAGTTAAGGATAATGTCCCACACACTGTTGCTAGAACTCCTGACAGCTGTTTCCAGAAACAAGGGGCAGCCAGTTCTCTGAAGCCAGCATGGAAGCATCTGGGGTGTGGGTAGAGCGCAGATCAGCTGGGAGCTGACAGAGGGATATTGTACGTGTCCAGATGTTGAAGTGCTGCATTCTGCTCTTCATCTTCCCCTTCAGTTTCAGCAGAGACAAACAAGCCCCTCCTGACAACTTTGTATACAGCAATTCCTTCTGTTTGGGATTTGCTGGCTCCTGACCAGCAAGTTTATTGGGCAACTGAAAGCGTCTGTGCTTAATACACACTATATGTGACATGCAGCAGATCAGTCCCTGACCTGAAGCCCTCCTGCAACAACACACATCAGCACTGGAAGGAGTCACGTAGCTTCCTCCTGCTTAGAGCACATGCTGTTCTCTTCTTGCTTTCAGGCTCTTCATTATATGTAGTGCTTCACTGCATTACATTTTCTCTCTGTCTCTCTCTTAGCTCTCATTGAAATGCAGTTTCTTCATAGAACTGTGTTGGGATTAAATTTTCCTTTAGTTCCAGTCTTGGGGCCTACCTGTAGTCACATACCTAAGTATGTACGGCACATAACAGTTATGTCACAGAAACTCTTCATCTCTCCTAGGTACTAGTGCAGGCTGGAGTTGCTGCCCTCCTGTTACTGTTCACAGGGGAATGATGTGTATGGAAGCAATTTAATGCTTCAGGATTTTTATGAGTGTCATTTCTTTACTGTGAAAATTATTACATTCCCTGACTTCCAGTTCTTCTGCTTTTGTACAGGAGGAACTGCAGGCAAATCTAGATTTGATCCAAACATACAGGCTTCATATTGCGCAGGACATAAACCAGGATAACCTTCAGCTGTTCCTCACCTCATACAACAGGTACAGATACTTCTTTGCCTGCTAGATTGCTCCCGTAGCTTCCCTGCGCAATAAATTAGCTGCCATATGTATTATTCTACTGGATATTATGTCATATAAACCTTTGTCCTAAGCTTCGTATTCAGCCATCATCCTGGGCCAAGCTCAGCCCTCATGCCTGGATGACCCTTTCATACCTCAGTAGATCATCTCTCTAGGCACAAAGCAAGCTTGCCATGAGAGGATGGATCCTGTTTCAAGGCAGTAACTGCTGGGGCTCCTGCTCATGGCAAGACACAGGGAGTGATAACCTATTGCCTTGGTGCTGGAGCCAGCACTCTTGGTTGGATTTTGTACACTCCTACAGCAACCAGTTCCCTCTGCTGCTTTGATGGAGAATTGTTCTGTTTTGTCTTTCAGTCGTAGAGACCTGGAAATCGAGAGACCAGTTCTTGGCATCAATGAAAATACTGCAAAAACACTCAAGTAAGTTGCTCTGAGTCAGCCTGTCTCAGTTACTTACTGTGCAGTCCCCTCAGCAGAAAAGCTGTTGCTGCTTCTCAGCAAGAACCCTTCAAGCCCAGGCACTGGGAAGACTGTTCAAGACAGTCCCAGGCTGTGGTGCAGTGCTGTCAGTTAGAATGGGGCGGAGAGAGGTCTGGAAGCCCTTTCAGTAAGAACACACTGAGATTCTCCAGAAGGTAGGGTCGGAGGAATAAGCATATCCACCAGCAACCACTGTACTTGCTGAGCTGTTAGTTTTGTTGGAAAACTGGGGAGGCAGGTTTTTGTTTGTTGCCACTGACTACTGTCCCCCAACTTGCTGAAGAAATCATGTGTGTGCAACAGTATTGGCAGTGGTGTGCATGGAGGGGGTGGAGCAAGCCCTGAAGGATGTTTTGGTGCAACAAAATGCCATGATGTGGTGGCAGGTAGGGATTTTGCTGAGCATTGTTAACCTTTCATGAGCCTGTTGGTTCACAGAGCTCAACCTTCTCAGCAATCCCTTTGGAGCATGGTGATTAACATCTCTGTTTTGGTTTCTGACCAGGTGCCCTGCCTTGCTAGTGGTTGGTGACAACTCACCTGCTGTGGATGCAGTGGTATGTACACATGAACTCCTTCCTGTCATGACATGAGACCCACAAATCACTTGGCAAACCTGCCTCACCCAGCAGTGCTTTCACCATGCCCAGAAGTAGGCACAGGAAGTGGCTCATTGTGCCAGGCTCTTTTCTAGTCCCCCAGCTATTGAAATTTGTCAGTTACTAGTGGGAGAGCCAAGACTCGGGACTTAATGGCCCTGCAGGGTAGCTCTGAGTTGAGCATGGCAGGAGCTGAGTAAGAGTCCTTGTGCCCTAGCATTTTGCTGATCAAGTGATGCAGAGAACACCTTTCAGGAATTTCCCTGAGCTCTGCCAGGCTGCTGCCTGGATTTCAGTTCAAGTCATGAATTCCTGTTCTCTTGCTGTTGTACTGAGGCTACCTGGGGTTTAAAAATAAGCGGTGTGACTCCAAGTCCTGTGGTGGGAGTCTGCAAAAGCACTGCATCATAGGGAAGGCAGCACTTAGAAGCATCTTCTTCCTGTTGTTCTCTGCAGGCACCTATAACCCACTTCCCTCCCAGCACAGTTATAAATGGGGCATGGAACAGTGCAGTGTGGTTGTGGTGAATGTCGTTCCTCCTCTTCAGCCAGTGATCGTGGGGAGACCAGGGGCTTGTGACCAAAAGCAGTTGTTTTAAACCATGGAAGAATTTTGTCTCCTAGAGAGTGCAGAATTCTAAAGCAGCAGCTTGGACCAGGAGCTGTGCATGGAGAGCTGCTGCAGGAGTTTTCTGGTCATGGCCTGTTGCCTTTTCATCAGGCCGGTCTGGAAGTCTGAGACATTCTGCAAGTTTTGACTTTGCTAGGATACTACCCCTGAGGATTCTCGTTGCTTCCCAGACACAGTGGGGGAAGTTCTCGTTCCTTCTTGGCCCCAGAGAAGCTCCCGCTGCTTCTGATTCAGCTGCCCCACATGTTACATCTGACTCTTCGAGTTTTCTGTGTGATATCATGTCCCTCTTTCCTCCTTTTGTTTTAGGTTGAATGCAATTCACGTCTTGACCCAACCAAAACTACCTTCCTGAAGGTCAGTGCTGCTCCAGAATCCATTCCAGCCTCCACAAAGACAGTACTTTTGCTGAGGCCAGCTCCACTTAGGTTTTTGCCTTCCATACATTTAGCTTTAAGAAGTTTGTGGACACTCATTCAGGGCTGTGTTTCTCCTGCATGGAGCCAGACTTGGGAGAGGAGAGTTTGTCAGAGTGTCCCTGAATCTCTGCTTTATGGCCACTTCTGTGTTATCTCCAACCAGCAGGGAAGACCTGCTGAGATTTAGCAAAGGTGCCCTGCCTGCTCTCTGCCAGCAGCAGCATCACTTCTAGCTTTATTCCAGTCCTTCCCACCCTCACCTGTGGCGCTGCAGTGTGCCAGACCACTGCTGATTAGAAATGCAAAGCAACAGGTTTGGGAAGAGTGGCAGGAGGAGCTGGGACAGTGAAGGGTTACTCCTGGACTTCTGGAGTGTGGCCTGAGATCTCTTGGGAATGTGGCCTCCAGGGTTCTGGGTTCCTTCAGCAACAGGCTCCCGGGAGGTGCCTCACTGGGCCTTGCTTTGCCTTTAGAGACAATGTGTGGCTCATGTGGCAGTGCAGCCTGGGGCCATCGCCCCGGTGGGGTGTGCAGTGCTGGGTGGGTCTGGGGTTGTCCTCCTGGGGTGGGAAGGACGGTTCAACCTCCCTTTGTTTCCTGTTGCAGATGGCTGACTGCGGTGGCCTGCCCCAGGTGGTTCAGGTGAGAAGCACCTCTTGGCTCTCCCTCAGCATTTGGGTTGACAGAGCCCCTTGCTCTGCTCACACTAAAGCTGGACTTTCTGTTTCCACAGCCTGGCAAGCTGACTGAAGCCTTCAAGTACTTTGTGCAGGGAATGGGCTACAGTAAGTGGCAAACACAATTTTCTGGTTTGGAGCAGGGTTGCTGTGAAGGGAACTCAGCCTTCCTGGTCCATCTGAGCCCATTGGCATCTCTGTCCCCACCCGCCAGTTAGTGTGGTTGCCAGGAGATCCATCCACAGTGGAAAATCAACTAGGGTGCTAACAAGCCTTAGCAAACCAATGTTGTCTCTGACGTGTGTTTAATCCACACTGCAGCTGGAGTGGTGACCCCTTTTTAGTTGCTGGTGTTGATAAAACTTTGTGAGTCTGTCTTTGTGCCCCAGAAAAGCGTGATCCCAAGAACAGTAAATCTTCTGAAATCTGTGCATACCTTCTCCAGAGGGGAGAAGTTGGCAGCACAGCCTCACAGTTGTGGGTACATGGGAGTTCTTCCCTTTCTTCTCACACGCACCTATTTCTTTCAGACTCTCGAAAGGGGTAAATGATATCTCAGAGTGAAACCCTCCCGTGGTAGAACAGAGCTGGGTGACTTCTGAGACACCCAGGGAGCCCAGAGGGAGCCGTGCTTTGATCCAGTGCATCCCCTGCTCTACGCTGCCTTCTTGTGCTTGGGGCAGAAGACATTGTCTCCTGAGTGTGTCAGGCTGACAGCAGTTCAGCTCCACTGCTCTGGGGACTCTAGGAGATGGGCTTCTCAGTGCACTAAAGCACCTCTGTCTCCATTGCAGGCACCTTGGCACAGCTCTGCCTTGCCTGCCAGGGGTCAGGTCTAGGAGTTCCCTTCTGCAGATGATGAACCTTCAAAAGCTGGAATTATGAGAGGGGTTGGTTCGTGTGGCTTATTACCACTAAGGCTGGGCCACAGTGGCAGCTGTGACACTCCCCATGGTCTCCACATGGCCAGAAATTCTTTGCCAACTTATGGGTGTCCGGGCTCAGAAGAAGCTGTCCTTTTCCATAGAGCTACGTGTGGTTGACATGAATATAGTAGGACAATTATGGTCTCCAAGGCTGGCCAGAAGGGCCTGATCCTGCATAGGAGGGTACCATGTGGGAAAGCTCCCTCAGCCTCACTGAGAGCATTTCAGTGTTCATGTCTCCTGTGTTCTTAGTGTTAGTAAAGTCAGGAAGTGCTGTTATCAGACCAAGGACTTCAGCAGCACGTCGGGGGTCAGATCTCTTGCAAGTAGGATGTGCAGCACTGGGTAATTGTCTGCTTCTGGAATTAGTAGCTAGTCCCAGGATGGTTTTTCCCAACTTTGGTGGCCAGGACCGTGTTGGCACTGGTGAGCTTGGCCTCCCCTCAGGAACAGTGAGAAGCAAATCAGCAACTTGCCACTTGTAGAAATGCACAAGCCAGTTCCTCACAGCTACTCTTGTGTCTTCTGCACATTGGCTAAAACAGCTGAGCCTGCCTGTGCTGACACTCAGGGGCGAAGGTAACACCTTGCAAGAGGCTTTTAGCAGAAATGTGATGCTGTCAGGACAGACACAAATTTCTGTTCCGTATCTGGAGTTACAGAGTGAACCCCAGTTTCCCCACCGTAGGAAAATGATGTCTCTGTTGAGCAGTTGTGGTGTGTGCAGTGGGGAGGTCACCAGGTGCATTGCAGTTTCCAGCTAAAGGCATTGAACAGATCTGGCCCTGATGGATTTTGGGTCACTTGGCATCTCCCTGTGATGCTCATTAGCTGCTGTTTCCACAGATACTGGGAGCTTTCGGTGCAGTGTGTGAGCTGGGAGTGGAAGGGAAGGTAGCTGGGGGTCCCAGGAGCACTGCAGCTGCTAGTCACACACCACAACTAATTGGCTCTTTCCTGTATTCATCCCTTCCCTTGTCTCATGTTGTTTCCAGTCCCTTATGTGCAGCTCAGCCACCTAAGCACTGAGTCAGGTACCTTCAACTGCGCATCGCCTCGGCCCAAGTCTGTGCTCCGAGTTGAATGATTCTTCGGGTGCATTGCTGTGTCTCGGCATGTCCTGCTGCAGGCTGGGCTGATCATTGTACAGTGTGTGTGCTCTAGTTTTTCACCTTTCATTTGTATTTTGTTGATCGTTGCATGACTTCAGCTCTGTGGTTTCCTAGAGTGACAAGACTGACTTTCAAAAGGTCATCTGTACAACAGCTGCCTTGGTCTGCACAGACACTCATTGTGACTGCACTTGCAAATGATCGGTTACACTTTAGGCATTTGCTCACCTTGGACCTTTTGAAATTGGGCCTTAAACATGTTGCTTTGTCTAAGACATTAATTTTGGCACTGGAGAGTGAGTTTTCTTCCTGAGGGTACAGTTCTTTTCGTGCTTACCCAGTGGCACATCTGAGTGACTGTTAACACTGCTCTAGGAACTTCCTCCTTTTCTAAGTCCCATGATGTTCTCTCTTGCAGTGCCAGCAGCCAGCATGACCAGGCTGATACGCTCCCGTACCCACTCCTCCTCTAGCCTGGGCTCTGGCGATAGCATCCGCAGCCGGTCTCACGCTAGCAACCATGGTGAAGACAGTGCTGGAACTCCAGAAGGAATTGACCTCCAGGAGGCACCTCAAACCATGGAAGTATCCTGTTAGGCAGGATCCTCTTCTGGATTCAGACAACTCCACTCTCCCCCACTGAACCCACTCAGAATCTAGCATTTCACCAACATGGCATTAACTGTTCTCTCTAACTTGTGCATGCCCATCTGAGCTGCCACCTCCTTGGTAGTCTGTACTTGGCATTACTTTGGTCCTTTCTGTATGCCCTTGGCATCAGAGCCTCTTTAAAACTCGTCAACATTCCGCAGTCTTAGTAAGTCCCGTTACTGTACATGCTGGTCCCATCTCCTGTCTGTGCTGTGTATCAATCCAGATGACAGCCGTTGTCTCCCCTGTTCATTTAAATATAATTTCTGTGGCTTTGTGAGGTTTAGAATTGCTTTCTAGTTGTGCTTCTGCTAAAGGACCCTTGTGGTGCAGTTGATACGGCATCTGTGGGACATAGGAATGCAAGACCATGATGATGTGGAACTCCAGGCACTGGAGCAGGTGAACCTCTTTGGCAGAGCTGTGCCTGGAGTGTAGAACCCATCAGAGGTCTTTGTGTTCCCAGGACTCTCGGCGTGCCAGGCAGCCATGGGGAAAACAAAGGTCAGAAATACTGTCTTGGTCTCATCTCTGTATGTGTGTTAGGAAGGAGCAGAGTTGATTTCTCACCTGAGCCTCCTGAAAGGGCAAAGCAATTAACAAGTAAACTTACACTAACCGAGGTGCACTATTAACCGAGTACAAGGGATTACGTTGCAGCCGCCCTGGCTCCAGGTCGCCCCTGCTGACCCTCCAGGGGCCAGATGCAGTTAGCACCATCTCGCTGTTCTGCCCTGGCATATTCAGCATCAAGTAGGTTGTGAAATGGGCAGCAGTGTCCCTTGCCAGATCCAGGAATCTCCTGCACTGCCAGCTCTGCTTCCCACTGCTGCCAGCCCAGGCAGGGTGTCTGCACAGGGTGTTAGCGGAGGCTCAGGTGATACCTGGGATGTAAAAGGTGACCATCAGACACACATTTGTGTGAGTCGGGTCAGAGGGTGAGCAGGGAACACCTTTGTGCAGGTGCTATTCACTGTCCTGGTGGAATTCACAATTCTGCTGCCTTTTTACATCTGGCTGGGTCATAAAGAGCAGGAGGCAAATGCCTGCTGCGTGCCAGGGTTTCACTGTTAATGGGAGAAAAGGGAAGAGTGGTCAGGCTACTACAGGGCTCAATAGATGAGCAAAACACCCTTAACTGTTGAGCAGGCCTGACTCACTGGGAGCCAGCTCCTCCGAGGGTCATGCTCACGTTCTGCTCTATTTCAGGTAGGGAATGGGACTGGGAGGCTCTGCCTGAGGGGGACTTTGTACCAGTTATTAAATAAAGCTATAACTGAGTTTCATTGTTACCCAGTGTGCTCGTGGTGTTTCTCCTGGCACACAAAACACCCTTAACTGTTGAGCAGGCCTGACTCACTGGGAGCCAGCTCCTCCGAGGGTCATGCTCACGTTCTGCTCTATTTCAGGTAGGGAATGGGACTGGGAGGCTCTGCCTGAGGGGGACTTTGTACCAGTTATTAAATAAAGCTATAACTGAGTTTCATTGTTACCCAGTGTGCTCGTGGTGTTTCTCCTGGCACAGCCCGAGGCCGCTGGTGTGAGAGGCAAACTCTTTTTTCCCATGGAAGGGGCAGCACTTGGAGAGGTGGCCGTGCAGGAGCGGGGTGGTTGTGTGTCCCTGTCTCTCCTGGAGGAGGCTGGCTGAGGGCCCTGGAGAGCTGCCTTCTGCAGAAATGAAAGAAGAAACTTACAGCTTTGACAGAGTGGAGGCAAAACAGGCCAAGAATTGCCTCCAGACGAAGGTGTGCACGAGGAGCTGCCTTCCCCAGTGGAGAGCTCTGCAGCGGCGTATCTCAGGTAGGACTCAAAGTGAAGCCGTCAGCCCTGTGGCAGAGCAGTTGTGACACGAGGATGCTGAGGGCCATGAGGTCTGTTTGCACATTGTCCCCCTGCACCCAACCAGCTGTCGTTCAACACAACCGGTTCTTCATCTTCTGCTTTTCAGAGCCAGGTTTTGCTCTGGGGTTTCAGGTTTGTCATCTCGGCTTTCACAGAAAGCCGGCGGGGACTGGCGGGGAGGAGCTGCTGCTCACAGGTTAGTTGAGGTCTTGTTGCCGTGCCCACAGGGTGTGCTGCTGCAGCCTGTGCTTTGGCTTTGTGAAGACCTTCAGGAAGGTCACTGCAGGAAGTGAGACAAAGGGGGTTTGTGACTAGCAAACTGAATGGTGAGAAATGGCAGAAATGAGACAGTTGTGTTAATGAGCGAGTACTGACGTGACAAAGTGATTAAATGAACAGAAATACGAGTCTGTAGAAGACAGGAGACTACTGAAGCGACCAGACCACCAGATACCACATGAAGTTCATTGCTGTGAAATGCAAAGCAAACACGCACAAGAGGGGAGCTGCTGGTGGTGCAGTGCTGTGATCTAGTGCCAGCAGACTCCACTGAGAAATGATTCTTCCTCGAGTTCCCTTACGACAATACAGCAACAGACCAAATGAAAGGCAAATGCAATATGAAAATGGCAACAAAATGAGTTAGAGGAAATTAAATGACCGCAGGGGTTGGTGCAAGCTTGATGAGTGCTGTGTGTGATGTGGAGCAGGAGAGCTCAGAGCTGCAGGCTGCCCATGGACAAGGAAGCCAGGAGAGCAAATAGATGAGATTTTGGGCAGTTTGGAAGGGAGATGATTAAGAAAGGAGGTGATTAAGATTAATTTGGTTGCCATGGCATAAGCGAGGCAAGATTTGTCATGGGGGTTGGCTTGCATTTTATTACCCCAAGGATAACTGGAAAAGTATTTGTTTTTATAAGCAACTGCTTTTCCTGGTATAAAACAGAAAACTCAAAGCTAAATACAAGCTGAGAAATGTGTTTCGTAAAGGACAAAATGTTTCTCTGGGTGGCAAGAGCAATGTCTGAGCTTGAGCTCAGGGCGGGCTTCCCTGGGCTGGGATCCCAACCCTCATCCGTGCTGCTGCTTCCACGCTTTGGGGCAGCACTGAGGTCCCTGTAAGATCACAGAGGCTTCCTCGGCCTCTTCTGGCTGGAACTGGGATGCCTGGGGAGAGGCTCAGCACTTTCCAGCTCTCCCACATCCTCAGGACTGAATTCCCAACTGCTGAGTTCCTGGGGATGAGCTTATCCACCAGACCAAGAGCCTTTGCATCAGCAGCAGTGTGCACCCTTCTCTCCAGCAGCACAGGGCACATCCTGCTGAGCTCGGCTCTGCTGGTGGTTTCTCTGGGGTCACTGATGGAAGAGCACCTCTCGCAGCCATGGGCTGAGGTTTCTGCCTCAGGCTGCGGCACCTCTTGGGCTGGAGGGAGCTGTTTGTTACCCAGGAAAACCACAGGCCTTGCAAGGAGGCAGCTTCACGCTGCTGACCCCAGCCCCTGCCCTGGCGCACGCTGCACTCCCAGACCTGGACACGCTCCTTGGTGCGAGGTGATGGACTCAACCTCCTCTTGGTGCTGGATGATGCTGCAGGGAGGAACCTGGTTGTGACTGCAACTGCTGCTGTGTCCAGGAGGCGCCTTCAGACCCTTGGCCAGCCTCAACATCCGAGTACAGGAGTCTGCTCCCGCTCTCATGCGCTGCCATCCCTCCCTCTCACCCAGCGCAGAGCCCATGTGGTGATCACAGCGCCTCGAGTGCCCTCAGGGAGCTTTTCGTGTGCCGCAGTCCCCGCGGGGCACCAACAGCTGAGCAGAGCGAGTGAGGAAGAGAAAACCCTGGGTGTGTGTGTGCACACCACGGGAGGCGCCAGCCGCCGCAGCCCCTGCTCCAGCTTCTCGCACCCCTCACACGGCTGCACTGTTGGGAGCACCCAACACCCAGCCCTAGGGACCAGGGCAGACCAAGGGGACCCCAGAAGGTCCCACAAGGGGGGATACACTGTGACAG